AACAGTCAGGGTTATTGAAAAATGTGTGCCTGGGTAGAATGGCCAGGTTAGGTGGTAGTTATTTTTTTTATTTAAAGTAGTTGTACCCATGATAGGTTAGGAGAGGAAAGATATATAGCAGGAACTAGCCAAAAACCTGTTACAGTATTTCAGATCCAAAATGATGAGTTTTATAGCAGAGTAAAAAAAGAAGGGAAACTACTGTGTGTTCTGTTTTGTGTTTTGTGGTACTGGGAACTGAACCAGGGCCTTCTCAATGAGAAACATCTCAAGCCATTTTTTGAATCTTTTATTTTTAGACCTGGTCTTGCAAAGTTGCCCAGGTTGGACTTGAACTTGTAATCCTCCTGCTTCAGCTTCCGAAAGAGCTGTGATTACAGGTATATACCACCACTCCTAGTTTACCATGCATTTTGAGAGAGGTATAGTTGGCTTTTGGGTAGGGGAAATCTAAATTACAAACTGACCCAGCAAGCAGAGTAAACACACTCAGGGACCAAAATGCCTCTGCCACTGTCTCTTTTTTGGCCTCATCTTCCTTACCCACAGTGAGTTGGAGGATGTTTCTTCAGCAGTCTGGTATCAGTGAGTTTTTAGGGTTCTTTTGCAAACGTAGCACATCATACATCCATGTGCATACACATCCATATCCATATCCAGAAACATGCACAAACATTCTATAAGTCACGCAGCTGAATGCTGCTGCTACCCACTCTATTTGACATTTTCAGGTTCATCAGCTCCTGTCCAATGTGAGGTAGCTTGTAGATTATGATTGTCATGTTTTCCTTTCCAGAAAGAAGAAACTTTATGTTTTAATGGTAAGACTTACGAGAGTAATCAGAGTAAGATTTTTGGATAAAAATTTTTTGAGGTAGGAGTGAGAGTAGATAAACTTTCATTTGGTTTGAAAGTTATGCTCTGGTTCTGTTACTGAAGAAAGATAAATGTGATGTATCTTGAGAAGCTACCAAGAGATATTCCAGCATGTAGCTTCTGTACTGTAAAAGCACATGGCGAGTTTCAGTGGAGTGCCAGCTGTATACACAGTCCAGCCTTCAGCCTCAGACGCATCTGTGAGACAAAGGGTGATTGTCTTTGCTGAAAGTAGTTTTCAAAGACACAACCAACTTCCTCTAACAAAAGTCACATTAACAAATATATACCAAGAGTATGTTGTGTTCATATTGAACTGACAAATAATATACCAGGTACTGTGTATGCAGAGATAGTTGCTTTGCTGTTTTCATTTAGGTAAGACCCAGAACATGAGTGCATGTGGCATGGAAGTTTGGCTTCCAAGTTTGTTTTATAATTACCAGAAAAAGCTGTAACTTCTCGGTAGTGAGATGAGTGACTGATAACGTACCCATGCTCTTTAAAAGTCTACTTTAAAAAAAAAAAAGTCTACTTCAGTTTAACTTTAAAACATTGTTGAATGGTAAATTTTAGGAATAATTCTTTCAAAAGTCATTTTCTGTTTGTGCTCCTATCTTGCAATACTCTGCTATATTGTAACACCAGTGAGATTTAACTTCAGAATAAGATGAATATGTTCTGTATTTTTCTGAGTGTTCAAGAACACTGTTGTTGATCTCTAAAGAAATCAGGGGTAGGCAGGCTGAGCTGATTAAGCAAAAGAGGAACTGGACTTGCAGATCCAAGAACATGAGTCATCTGAAGATGACCTTGCACTCACATGTCAGGCTGAGATCAGGAAAACATTGTTATCATTTGAGTGTTTAGTATGAAGAGAGGCTGTGATGAACCAGCTAGGATTATTCAGTAATTTTCTTATTTAAGAGATTTTGTGTTTTCAGTATTCCAGCAATATGTTGTTTTTATTCTGGTTTCATGAACATATGGAATGATCAGATGAACTTTACAATGCCCTTTCAGAGTAGAAACCAGAACCTGAAGGGAGTGGAGCCTTCATTATAGAGAATAGGAGACACACAAGTCTTCTCCTAGAAGCCGTGTGGACTCCAGGGTTGCCCCTTTCTAGCTTTCCTTCTTCATTAAGTGTATGCTGTTAAAGTTTCCACTAACTTCTCTAAACCACAGTGTTCTCAGCTGTAAATGGAGCTATTAAAGCTGTTTCTCCTAGAGGTTGTGCTACTTACACAGAGTAGCCATTAGTATTTTGATCAGGTTATTGTAGTAGCTTTAAGATTTTTTTTTTCCCATTGTACTTTTTTCTGGAGAGATTTCTTACAATACCAGGATTAGAAAAGAACGACCACTGTACAGGTAGAATGGGTTGGATTCTGACTAAGTACTTTGAATAAAGGCAGATAGGAAACTGGAATTAGGATGCCACCAAAAATACAAGCCAAAATCATTAATATTTGGCCAATGTCTTCATTTTTTTAATGGGTCTTGGACTTACAAACAGTTTACCCTCTCTGGAATTTATATGATTTTATTATGGCTATACAGTTCCTGATTAAATCAGCTAACAGGACATTGGAGTTAAAAAAAAAAAAAAAAAAGTAGGTTGGAGACAGTTTTTTATAATGCAAATAGGCTAGCTCAGAAACTGGGCTTCCTGGGCTTCAGTCTGAACTTAGTCACCTTTGGCAAACCCCTTCTCTCTGACCCTCAATTTCCTTATCTTTTAAATGAAGAGGCTAAGAACAAAATAAACTTTAAGCCGCTCTGTAGCTCTTCTCTGCCAAGCCCATAAATCTCACTGTTGAGTAGCTACCTCGCATGTTTCCAGTGTGCCAGGCTCTGAGGAAATGGCTGCTTGGCCATGCCCTCAGGGCAGCTGCCTTGTGCTGCTCAGTTCAAAGGTTCCTGCATAGATGCTGGAGGAACTGAAAAAGAACAAAGATGCATTGTGGACAAAGGAGAATGGGCACTAATGAGGGTGTCTGAAAGGAATGAAGTTAGCTTAATACTCTAGGGTTCTTCAGATGCTTACGGGTATCATTGAAATGTAGTCAGTCTATAGGCTTTGCTGTCCAGAACTTTCTGCTGGCTCTACACTTCACTTAATTAAAGCCAGACACTCAGGCAACCTTAATCCTATAGGATAAACTTTCCTACATTAAATGTCTATTATCATTTTTTGCAGATAAACATCAACTATATAAGCACAAATACAGGAAGAAAATGTTGAATCTCTTTAGGAGCATTTGGTTTTTTCCATAGTTAGATGATCTAAATCCTTTCTGTACACTACACATTGGGTGGATGAGACTGCAACTTAGCTAAAGAGTGGCAGAGAAGATAATGTAGGAATACAAGGAAATTGAGGGACTAGTTGCATTATGGTGATAATCATCATTTGGCCTGTAGAAAAATGGTGGCATTTATTTAAAATGTTCATTGGTTTTTTGCCATGTGTCACATTTTTTTCTAGGAGCTAAAAATTGAAACCTGAGAGCTTCCTACTATAGTCAGACATACTCATACATATATTTTGTACTTATAAACAAATATACAGTCATAGATACGTATAAATGAGACAGTGTTATCAGTCTTAGAGGATTTTTTAGGTAAATACATTAGTAATGCATTTATTATGTTCAAAACACACAAATTTTTCCTGGCTTTCTGTTTTCCATCAGCAAACATTTGAGTCATTTGTCAGATATACAAAAAAGAAAAGGCCAAAAGTAAACGATGCATTTATATATCCAAAGATCCTTCCAAGTACGTAAAAATTCACCCAGTAACACACCCTTTTAAGGATACATGGTATTTCTGATACATGCTCAAGACAATGCACATGCCTATATACATAAATATATACACGTGTGTGCGTGAGCATTTTATATGTTAAGTATTTATTTGCTCATAAATGCTCAAAAAGGGTATTTGAACCTACATGGTAAATAAGGGAAGTCTGGATTTATGTCTCTACATAAGTATGTTTGTGAGTTTTTATTTGGGGGGAGGAGGTAAGGAAAGAAAGGAAAAGGTAGAAAAAGAAGAAGATAAGGAAGGGAAAAACAGCAGTCCTAGGAGGAACCACAGCAGTTAGTAGTTTTAACCTGAGCTTCTACTACCCCGTTGATCTTTCCTGTATTGAACTGCAGCTGACACACCAATATTTGTTTCACCAGCTGACATATTATTGAAGTTGACCACTCACTCAGATCAAATAAAAAGAATAACTTGTTTTTAAAATACAAAAACATCCATAGACATTAGAAGAAGTGGTACTTATGTAGTCCAACAACTGTGATAAAGATAAGTTGCTCAAGTCCTTCCAAAGCAGAAAACAATTTTAAATCTCAGGCAATTTTTTCCTTTGCTGGCTAGAAACTCATTCCAAAAAGTACCAGCCTGTCCCATTTCAAAATGCTTCCCTTACCAAAGAAGAGGAAGCGGTCATATTCTTTTCCACCAGACCATGGGTGAATTATAATTATCCTAGCTCTTGTGAGACAGAGAAGCAGCAAACATCTGCTCTACTGAATCAGAAACCCACGGATAAAACTATACCAAACTGTGACTCATACCTGGACTTGGATTAAAGGATCTGGGTTGTGTTTACTTTTTTATTTATTTTATTTGCAATTTAAAATATGAATCTCTTACCTCTGGCACCATATTCTGATGGGAAATATATGAATTTCATTTGCTGACTCCTATTTTAACATAGAAAAATTACTACTTTAAAGTAGATGGGCAATAATAGTTAATAATGGTTTTTCTGTTAGGTTAATATCCCCTCACAGTTTTCTTTAAAAGAATGGTAGAATTAAGAAACTTTAAAAATACACATTCTAAGAAATTCAGTCTTTCAGCTTTAGTTTCAATAACAAAGAAGCAGAAAATGATATTTTAAACTTTCTGAAAGAAACAAGGTTCACAATTGCTGTTACCATGATTTAATGTATCATGGTATGTATGTGTGTATGTGTATGTGTATTATAACTGTTCACTTAGACTATAGAGTAAGAAAAAAATGGTACAGTACTTCAAACATAAGTTTTAGCTCTGAGTCTATTTCCTTTACATTATTTCTTTTTCTTTTTATCTATCAGAGAGCAGAAAGGCAGACTCGAATTATGGATTCAGCTCAATATGCAGAATTCTGTGAAAGTCGACAATTAAGTTTCTGTAAGTAAGCATTTAACTGCTTAATTATATGTATAAGACATTGTGTCATGCTCTCTGTTCCTTAGGAATTGGTATGTTTAATGTATACATAGTTACAACTGTCACAGAAACAACCTCTGCATTGTGGGGGAGCGAAGAAAAGATTTTTCCACATTCTATTGTTCTGTGATAGTTTTAAGGGATTTTAAAGAGTAATACATGGAAAGCCATTTTAATTATCCAGATTACCTTGAGTCAGAAAAATTCCCTTTTTCTTAATATTCTTTTACAGTTTGTTAGTCATGTTTGTACTAGTACTTCTGGCTGTACTAAACCTACAGTAGTCTGTATTAGCACAGTCATGGCATTAAAAAGCCCCAGTATTAATTATAAATACCAAATTTCCTTTTCTGAATATTCAGGTCAATAGTCTTTTCCATTTTTATCTTTAACCTCCTGCTGTGGCATGCATTCAGTGTTAGCCAAATTCACTAGACCATGATATCTCATGACACTGCTAACCTAACAATAAAATTGGTTCTTTCCCATCACTAAACACTAGCTTCTTAAAAGTACACAAAGACTCATGGTGGTGGGCTGGATTGTGGAGCAAAACATCCTTACAGCAACAGTTCAGCGATGACTAAGACTCTTAGAGTAAAGGTCAAAGAGAAAGTGGATGAAAAGTCCAGTTAAAAATATGATCAAGTAGCACATGACCCTGGTCTGAGGGATTATAGAAACAATGGTGTCTTTAAACGAAAAAGCTATTGTGTGATCATAATAACAGCGTATTTGATTTAGAAAAAGAAAATGAGAGCTTCATTTATAGATCATAAAGTACAAATAAATGACACATTTCAAATAGTGCCCCATGTAAATGTCAGTAAAACATAGGAAAACATGTTTTAGAAGACTTTTCTGAACTAAATATACTTTCCAATCGGACCAACAATTCGGCATCAGACATCTGTGAAGCATTAAGTAAATGACACTTCAGATCATGGCAATTTCAGCAAATGAGAGGTTTTGTGTTGTAATTTTTAGGTTTAAAAATGGCATTTGGGTCTTATAAATATAAATCTCTAGTTTATAAAGTAACATTTAGTGCAGTTGAACTATTTTTTAATCATATTTACTTTAATTCATTTAAAGGACCAGAAGTGTTATTTCACACTAATTATCTTAAGTTTCCTAATAAGCTTTTTATTTGAAAATTAGATTTTTTGTTCATTTTTTGTTTTTAATACAGTAAACTAGAATAGATTAAAAATTAACATTTTCCTTTCTGT